GCTGATCCCAAATCTCTGTTGGGACGAGCCTTTGATGGTACCAACTGAGACACCCATCAATTGATAAAATAATAAGAGGGATAAAGTAGACTGTATTCCCCCTCAAAAATTTAAAATTACAGTCACCTCTTAATTTATTAGTAACTCTTTATAAATTGCATCCTACCCGTTGATTTAGCATTAATCCACGGTCAGATTCATTCCACCCCTATGATGGAGTTCGGATTTTTAAGAGTGGGCTGAACAGATAAAACCCATTGATAAAAATTGGTCAGGTTTTAGGGTAAATGTGAATCTTCTAGCCCACACCCCCGATGTAGAATTGGCCAGGTTTGTGAATACAAAAATATAGCATATACATAGGGTTGTTAAGCCCAATTCAGCTTCTGTTGAATTTAAACCTTTATTATCAATAGCATTGTTTAACATAAACTTAGGCAGGAAAGTAACTCTTAGAAATCTGGGTCCTAAAGAAAATGGTGTGATGACTCATTCGGACTTGTTTGTTTTTCGATAAATGGAGGGGTCAATTTTCCTGTATTCGCTTTTGATTAAAGGTGAATACCATGAAAATGAAATTTTTTCCTAAGTGGATAAGTAATTTTTTATACCTCAAAGAGAGTAATATGTTAAAACTAGTTTGAGTAAAGGTGAATACTCATTCGGACCTGGGTACTAGATGGTYGGACCGGAAAAATCAGGAACTGGTCAGGTGACCGATTCCATTTTACCCCAGAACCGTTATTTCTCTCGAAACCATTGATTTGGTTAGTAAACTGCTGACTCAGGTGGTTGAACCGTTCAACGGTTTGGCTCATTTTTATTTTTTTATTTTTTTTTTGTCAGAATGGGCCTTGTTCAGTTGGAACAATCGGACCGTTCAACCTGAGAACCAGACCCCTGATCGGTTTATTGTCTGAATCGGTTTTAAAAAACTTGAAACAAACTTTAAAAATCAAAAAGCTAAAAAGGTAAAATGACAACACAAAAAATTTACTTTGACAGAAAAAAAGTATAGTTCAGCTACTTCAGCCATTATCAACAGCCCCTACAAGATAAAGACATAAAGTTGGGACCCTTTTAAAAATTAGAGATGCTTCATCCCACAATTTTAAAAGTTCTGCACTTTGTGCTATCCAATGTAATTGAAACCACTATGAAAGATGATAAAATCTCCTTTCTTTTCTGATGGGCGTAAACCATATCTTCCATCCATGTACAATTCAGAGCTTTCATTCACCAAATTCTGTTGGAACTGTTAAACCCACTTTGCATTTTAGACATCAGTACTGAGAAAGACAAAGCAAATAAAAGTTACTTTACACAAAAAGGAAATCATTCCTATATATATTTGTAGCCATCAAAATGGAACATTATACTAAACCAGGGTAAAGCTAAGCCGGCGGTCAGGAGAACCGGGAAAACTACCGGCTTGGTCATTGGGCCATGGCATGATTCAGCCATTTGATTCTATCAAATAAAAAATAATTAAAATGATTCTGAATTACTTTTTTAAAGTTGTGTTGGCATCAAAATGAGCTTAAAACAATAGAAATTAGAGGCACATATTAACACATGTAAATTGGGTAGATTGGACCAAGTCAATATTTCTAAGAACCAGGTGACTGAAAGGTCGTTTTAACTACCGGTCTCCAGTTCTAGCCGAGCGTTCATTCGGTTTGGTCTGAGAATGAATCGGTCAGGGGTCTGGTCCTCAGGTCGAACGGTCTGACCATTCAAACTGAATGATCGGTCTATTCTGACAAAAAAAATTAAAGAAAAAACAGTCAAAACCATTTGAATTGTTCAAACAGTTAATAACCCGGGCCAGCTGTTTATTGATCAAAATCAACAATTTTTGACAAAAAATCGGTTTTGGGAAAAAACGAAACTAATCATTTGATCAATTTCTTGTTTTTCCAATCCAACTGTCTGATCCGATCTGATTTTGAAAACTATGTATTATTAAGACACGTGTCTGATGGCAATGGCACATGCCAGGCAGGTGACTTGCTTAAAAAGAAAAAGGCAATCATGCATGTGGTTGAGTCACAGAGTGGGGGACATTGGATGGCAGTGCCTTTGTATTTTGGGTGAGTTGGTAGTTCTTTGCACTGTTTGGTTAAGAGTGTAAAAGTTGAGCCACAGTGCAATCATGCATGTGGTTCAGTGGTTGATGAATATGATTCTTGAACCATCAATCTACCTCAAGAATGGTTGTCTGTCCTTATTTTTTTTTTCTTTTTTCCACTTAAATTTTCAATTTCTATATATAAATGCCAAACTAAATAAAGGAATATCATTCATGGTGAAAGAAGCAGAAACTCCTCATATAATGAAGCTGGACCAAGCAGTTATAAGTTATAACCACTGAAGCTGTTGGTTCGCGCTTCCTATGGTTCAACCATGGACCAGACATGATTTTATAGGGCATAATCTACGTTGCATCTGCTTTACCATGCAACAAAAGGCGTGGATCAATGATATATTTGGTTCAATGTCGAAGTATGCATTATTAAATGTGAAAGTATATTTTGTGAAACATGAACTAATAAAAAATAAGACATCTTTAACGTAACTGTTTGATAATTGGATTTAACATGCAACCAATATTTGCGGATGCATTATATTTAAACTCTAAAAGTAAATCTACATAAAGGAAAAGTCTATAATGCCAGAAAGAGATGGTATCAAAAGAGTTTTGATGGTCAAAACTCACTCGTAAATTTTGACAAATACTATGTAATTGATTAATATATTTATGATTCCAGTTGATTGATTACAAGTTTTTCAAATATGATGATGCCTTTCTGATATCATAGTCAAACCCATACATAGAAAGGAGAGTTTCACAATTATTTAAAAAATAGTTAGCTATATATAATTGATTCCGGTTCAAATGGTTTACAGTACAACCAACGGCTCGAACCATTTTGACTAAAGTCAACGATTTTCATGGGATGAGCAGTGGATTCACTCTTAAAGATCATAGAGGCTGGTGGTTCCTGCCTTCCCTGATTTTACCAGTTCTGCTGTCTAGTCTGGTTTGCCCAATAACCCAAAATAGAAAAATAAAATAAAATAAAATTTTACCTTCTCCTTTGAATTAATCAATATGTGCTGTGGTTAAAATGCATTCGATTAGGAAAAAATGGAAACAAAAAAAGCACAGAATTACAAAAGAAAAAAATGTGTAGGATTAATGGGGACCAGTGGGGTTATAGTTTGATATCCAAAGGAGAAATAATTTGGGCACCCCCCCCCTCTGATGTGAATGGTCAATGAGACACAACCCTACAAAAATATCCACGTGAAAGACAAATCCATCCACACATTTATTCTTCTTTAATGAAGAAGAGCTTGTATCTCAATTTATCAGAAACAGGGGTGTGCCCTAATAATTGTTATCCTTCCCAAAATCATTTTCTATAAAGAAGAAGAAATAACCACAACCTTTCGTTAAAATAAGAGAAATGATGTCTAAGTTTTAATTTGGATTAAAAAAAAAATCAACAAAAAAACACATGAACATGCGAATCAAAGGAGGTGGGCTAAGTCTAACCCCCTCAGCGGCTCTGCAAGGCACTTGAGTGGCTGGAAACACAAAGCACAAATCAAGGGCTTAAAAAGTCTCTGGTTGTTGGAATTAGAGGACATTGGTAGGACCTTTCTTTTGGATAGATGAAGGTAGGACCTTGTGTTCTAATTTGAGAATAATTTAGACCCATGTGCCATGGTCAAGGCCAACTTAGTAGATGTGTCCTTTTTCTTTATGAAGTAGATGTGTCTGAGAGTCACCTGCCCTAAAGCGACAATCCATCCCTAGTTTATGCCAAGTTCCATGGGTGATGGGCCAACCAAGGTCAGCTACTCAGCTCACCCATTAATGCATAACTAGAAGGAAGGGATTTTGCATTCATTTATGGGTACATTAGAGATGCTGAATTTGACCTAAGGATTGGGTTTTCTAATAACAAAATAGTCTAATTTATATCTAGGGTTTGACCCCAAGGCATTAGTTTTCAGTAACCCCAATTTCCTATAAAAAATTGAAGTCTATCCAACACCCATTTGACATTTCCCATCCTATGATAGCAAGTTAAATCTGACACCAATTCAATGGTTAAAATCTGTCCCCTCGTGTGGGGTCCTCCAAATAGGATATAGTTGAAGAACAAGTGATCCAAATCTGACGACAAAACTATGTAGGACCCACAAGCCCAACTGATCCTTATTCTGGTACAATCTAGACAGTCAGATGCAAATGCAAATGCAAATGCAGATGCCCTTTCAAAGCAGAGCTCATGGAGGGTAAAAGGCACTTTATGTCCTATCACTGAATTATTGTTGGTACGCAATGGTCCTGCCACTCACCTCAACACCTCCTCACTTGACATCAAGTTGATAACCACAGTACAATTATTCATGTACCCTCCTACCAACTCATTCAGTACATCAGATCAGAATATCATGCAGTCAATGTCTTCACAGTCAATGGCTTGAATTCCAAATCTCATTTAATGAACCCACTATGAGATCATGACAAAGACAAACCCTTTACAGTTTACTACTCCTCACTACTCAGTAGTCCTTAGCCCTGAGCCCCTGACCCATCATGACCCATCTTGCATGCCCATGGCCCAACTGACCCACACCACACTGATCCCTCCAAACAAAAGCTCAAACCCTACAAGACATAGACCTAAATTTCATTTTTGTCCCAATAGGACAATACCATTCTAAGAATTGAAGGGATTGGTTATGGTAGTGGGCGAAATGATATCATATCAAATCATATCATCTTACACAATTATTAATTATTAGTATTCAGTGGGACCCCCTTAATTTAGGAAAAGGAATGGGACCCACTGACCCCACTGAACAGTGGCTTAAGTAGCCAGTGGACATGGGGTGGTGGGTGAGTAATCATAGAACGTCTCATTTTTTGCCTTTTACACAAACCGGAAATCTCTCCTGCTTTGCTTCCCGGCCACCACCTACTTTTGGTTTTTTTTTTTTTCCCTCATCTTTAATCTTTTCTCATTTTGGGTTCACTTTTGTAATTTTGCGTTTGGTTACTTTTTGTCAAGTGGGGAAAAACTAAAATAACGACCTTTTTTCCCGCCTTTATCTTTTCTGAACACTTTTTGACTTGTGGGGCAGAGTGTTCTGGGTTCCCTCTTTACTGGGCGTGAAGAGAGGAGATGAGGGGGCTGTAGAGAAGCGGCTTCAGCACTCCAGGAAGAGGATTAAAAGGCTTGGAAATGATGACCCACCATCGGGCCATGGCTTTGGACGATTGCAATCTATTCTTTGAACGTCAGCTGTTTGACGAAAATGGCCCAACAACAACAGGGAAACCGACAACTGTCTCTCAATTCAGACTTGCTCTTCTTCTTCCTCCTCTTCTTTGTTTCACTCCCTTCTTTTCTCTCTCTGTGTACTGCACTGTTTCCTCTCTGGGTTCTGTACGATGGAGCGGAAGGAGAAGCATCAGCATCAACAGCAGCTGCTCTGCTTGTCCAAGAGCGCCAGGCAGCGGTGCAACAACGAGTGGTTTGTTCTCTCTGTCTTTCTCTGCTTTGTTATTCAGCTTACTCTAAATTCTGGTTTGTTTTTACGCTTCAGTAGTTGGCCTCACTTGTAAATTCTTGTTCCTTTCTTCTTGGGGTTTAGCGGTAATGCATTTTTTGAATGTTGTCTTGGGTTATGCAACTTTTTTCTATTCTTTCCCTTCTCCATGTTGAGTTTACATGTAACGTACAAAGGAAGCGCGTTCATGACTTGTGTTCTGTTTGGGAAATACAAGGAGAATACTTAAGTTTATTGGGTGCATCTCAATGTATCTGTGAAAGAATTCTTGTGGGAATTAGGACTTGGGTTGGTGTTAGTTTGGCCCATTGAGTAGCAGAAGCACTCATCTAATTGTACTTAACTGAATTTGATATTAGTTGAAGATGACATATTTATTGTCATAGTGCTCTGAATTTATCTTTTCTTTTCTTTTTTTTTAAACTTTCCTGAAGGAATTGTGGACTTTGGGCCTATGCGCCTTTCAGTAATAAATTTACAGGTTGACGGAACCTGAAAAGGGCTATTCTTCATATTGGTGATGTATCATAAAAATTGAAAATGAACTTCAGTTCATCCCTCCCTCCTTTTTGCTGCTCTCCTTGTCAACATATCCGTGGAAAGTGAAGAAAAAATTAGCAATCACTCTCTGAATGTATCATATGATGTTTTAGGTCCCATATTTGTGTCCAATGAGCATTGTTTATCAAGTACAAGTGCTCTATTAACTCTTCCCTTTCTGCATCCATATGATGATGTGGATAGCAATTATCAAAGTCAAAACAAAGCACAAGAAATTTTGTTATCACTTTATGAGACTTCGGACCAAGTCCCATGGTACAGAAATCACATTTCTGAATCACTCTTTTTTGGGATGCATTTCTCCATGTCAATAAATTCCTAAAACACCTTGGTTATTCCACCTTTAGGAAGCTTATTTTATTAGCTAACAAATAGCCCAGGATCACACAACCCAAACATGATGTGTGCTTGAGAAAGCTGTCCCTTAGTCCTACCTAATTGGTTCACTGTCTGTTTGATCAGAAATCTGTTTGATGACATAATTATTGAGATTTCTAGTCAAGCATACCGTTACAACATTCTTGGCAAGGCAGTTTTAAAAGAATTCTGTCATAAATAGAGAGGGAGAATAAAGAAATGAAGCATTTTAATTTTGTGTCAACTACATGTTATTGTCAATATGGACATACATCCCATCAATGGCAGTTTGGTTGAACTGTATTTTGTATTTATTTGAATAGTTTTCTATTGGAGGAGGAACCTTTCTGATCCTAACAGCCTTTTTCTTGCCAAATTATATCCTTTATTGCCTACAGCTGTTTTATTGCTAATCTGTATTCCTTGGACAAGACAGTAAACAGTGTTCTCAGCATGAATTAGCAGACAAGATATGATGTCATCTGTATGCATAATGATGTAATGTCAGAATCCTTGAAATCCCCATTTTTAATTTATTAAAAAAACTCAAAACGCATTGCCATTACAAGCATTTAAATCTAACAAGTTTTGCCACTTCTATAATGTCTGATGGTTTCTAGTTCCGATAAGAGGTAGCTGGGGAATGAAATGTAGTGTTGAATGTTGATAAAAAACAAAGGTTTGCCTTTTCAGCATTTTGATGCAATTTACTGCTAATAATATATCAAAGTCTTCCATTTTTAGTTGCTATTTTGGGGAGATGTGGAAACAATCTTATTTTTTTGATAAGTTGGAAAGAATCTTATTCTGGCTCCCAATATGGCAAAACTCTCCTCCATTCAGGCTTGGAATTGGAAATGCCAAGCGATACTGACCAAGTTGCTATTTTTCAATTGTCACCTATTTCCGTTTAGTAACTGAATTCCAGCTTCAGCATGCATCCATTAATCTATAGTATTCTATCACTTATTTTTAATCCATCCATGATTTCTTAATTGTTTCTGTTTAGAAAATTTTATTTTGGAGATTTTGAATTTGGTTCTTACTCTCCTCCATGAGGCTTCTGAACATTTTGAAAGATTTTTCTGGGGCTCCTGAAATATCACCCCTGACATTTTTATATTATATCACTTATATCTCCTCTCTTAAAATTGCCATTTTTGAATGGAAGAAACATCATGTCATTCGAGATGCATATTTAAAAACAACTTCCCTTGTCCATTCATGGAGCAGAAAGATTGTTTTTTCATATACAGTGTAATCTTTTGGTGTCAAAATCAGCAGTAGGGTAGATTTTTCTCTCAACCATTGAATAAGCTAGAAGTAGTCTTTTAAATTATTGTCAATTGATATTTGTTCATTTCTTACCAGAAGTAAAGGTAAGTTAGATGACACTAAAATTAAAATGTCATGTGAAGCCAGAAAATGGAAATCCCCCAAGGAGGGTAGATTTACTATTATGGTTTTATTTATATCATTCCATTTTTTACATCATACCAGTTAGGTTTCTATTCTTTAAGCAATGGCTCTTTTCCTGCAAATGATATTTTCCCATCTGTTGCAGCTTATTATTATTATTATTATTATCTTTTGGTAGATATCTGTTGTAGCTTAATTACCTAAACAACACCCATTATGATCTTTTGAGTGAAGTTTCTTTTATTTTACACCAGTGGCATCATATCAGAAGTCATTTGACCCTCTTTATCTGGACCTCTAACATATCTATAAGCATGCTTATATTACTAATTGACTATTATTCTGTTGTAGGATTTTCTCTGATGTCCCTAGTGATATTACCATAGAAGTGAGTGGATGTACTTTTAATTTACATAAGGTAAATCCCTTTGTCATCATTTTTGAATTGTTTGTGGCCATTTCATTCTGAAAAATCCTTTCTGAAATGGGAGAAGCTATCTAAATCTTTCTGGCACTACCTGACTGTATTTGTTTACCTGAATATATTATATGTTTTATTCATAAAACCATAAGACAAGAAAATTATTCAATGGAATATCATGTACATTGGGAGATGCATCTGACAGATCTTTTACTTGTGTTTGTTCAGTCACCTAAATAATATTCTCACATTTTATTCCTATTTGTCTATAAGAAAAACTTGGAAAGTTGTTCATTTTTTCGTTAAGTTCTACATTACTCTTCTGCTTTACTATCCTTTTTTTTTGTTTCTCCATCTGATACTACGAATTTCTAATTCCATGTGCCTGCTACCAGTGTCATCCCCACCTTCTTGTTCATCTAGGCTTCTGTTCTTGTTTGTAGTGTCCTTGCTCTAAGTAAGCATATAGTGTAATAGAGCAGAGTCAATTTTCTTCTTTCATGGCCACATGTAACTCCATGAATGGATTTTTGGGCCACAAAACCAGTGAGACAAGGTGGATTTTTAATAGAACTTGACTAGATCAGGTGTGGCATACATGTTAGTAAGTAATGTCTCAGACTGTGTCAGCCTCTTTCCTAGTGTAATTTTTGAAAATTTTACTGAAGTCAGAGTGTGTTGATTTAGAACTTCTACTTAGGCTTCAATGTCAAGGCAGAATTAGTTCAGGTTGGGGTAGAGGACTTTATTATCTTTAATTAGTATAGTTTTTTTTTCCCCTCATAGGGTTCTTGTTAAGATTAAAAGGAGTCTAGTATATCTATTAGTGTTTTTTTTTTTAGTTAGGAAAGGAAAGAAACAGCTGCTACTTCTATCTGACTTGGGCTTAACTCTCTCTAAACTGATTCCCACCTGATCCCTAATAAGTCTCTTAGTCTTATGAAACATGCCCTAATAAGGCCAAGGCAGTTTATGCCAGGTCCTCAATTAGTCTAAACCATTGTCATCCCTTTGTGGTAGTCCATCAATATGACTGACTTGAGAAATGGATTCTTTTTAAGTTCCTTCACTTCAATCTTAATATGCTCTATGCTCCATTCATCAGTAGATGCTAGTGTTACATTAAGCTATTGTACTAGATCTTTTATTGGGTTGATTTCAAGAAAGCCTTATAACAAATTGACTAGTCCTTGAAATGCTCACCAATCATTAGATATTTTTCTTATAGCCTATCCCTAAGGTTCATTATAATCTGGATACTATATGCTCCTTCATGCAATCTTTCATATTTGACTCAATAAAATTCAACTGTAGATAAACATTTGGATGTCTTCCTTTTTTCAACTCCTAACCGTAGTTCCTAAATGGTGAATTCAGGTCAATCTTATAGCGACTTTAGGGAACCAAAATATTCAATAATAGGCTCCACTACTATAATTTCAAAGTTAGATTCAAAAATTACATATAAATTCATAATCAAAGTTCAGAAGATCGATACACCCTAATACACTAAAAGGAGTATATCAATAATTTGAATCTTGCGCTTTTCATGTTTTTTATTTTTTTTTTCAAAATTTGAGAGGGAGGCCATTTTTGTGTTGTTTAATTAACAAAAGAAAGATTTTCTTAAAATGTCTTAAAAGAAAGATTTTATTAATACCAAATGGTATGCCCAATACAGGGCGTATCACATCAAAATTTTGATCCTTGCTCATAATATAAGAATATGAAATGGGAAATTATGCCAATATTCATGTCCAGTAGGGGCTGTACCTCATTTCCCATTTATGTTAATGTCATTATCCATAGATTTTTCCGGTTCAACCTAGTAGACAGTCTTGTCAGGTATAGATTTTGTTACACTCAAGGTTCAAAATTTCAATACAATACGCCCCATACTAAAAAATCTTTCTTTTAATAATTAAATAACATAAAGGCCTCCCTCTCAAATTTTGAGAAAAAGAACTAAAAAAATGAAGAGCACAAGGTTCAATGTATTGATACACCCCTTCTAGCATATCAGGGTGTATCAATATTTTGAACCTTGATTACACTGGCCCAACACAAGTACAACAAAACACATGAAAATGGTCAATCTTAAAATGATTCAGGGTGGTTTCACAGTTTCTAGTTTTTTTTTTTTTTCCTAGAGGAAGTTCATCATTGAGAATGAAGAAACCATGAGTGCAAAGCTTAAGAGAAATCCAATTCTTTGTCAACCACCTCTTAGATTGACTTTCTACATAAAGTCCTTTTGATCCTTTTGAGTGAACAAATCTCATAGATTCAAGTTGTTCATTCTTGAACCTAAAGTTTAGTCTATAAACCATAGCTCATCCAACCTTATTAGTTTTCAGATTAGAGAGGAAGAAAAGTGGAAAAGAAGAAGATTGAGAGGAATGGGGCGGCAACAACTCTCTTAGCCCCTAATCTTATCATTTATATTAGGGTTACAAGAAAGAGTACAAAGACAAATATGCCCCTGATTAGTAGGCAAGAAGAAAGAAAGAAATTACATATTAGAACGGAAAGGGCCCAGGCCCATTAAGCCCAAGAGAGAAACATAACATAAAATAACATAACAAATAAGGCCCAAGTCCACAAATCAGGTCTCACAACACTCCCCCTCAAGCTGAGCATAGATATCTTTCATGCATAGCTTGCATAATAGTTCAATAAATCTTGCCTTGGTGAGCCCCTTGTTAAGAACATCAGCTAGTTGTCTTGTAGATGGCATGCAAGGGATGCATAGGTCCCCCAAAACAATTCTTTCTTGCACAAAGTGTCTATCAATCTCAATATGCTTTGTCCTATTATGCTGGACTGGGTTGTTAGCAATGTTGATTGCAACTTGATTATCACAATACAACTTTAGAGGTTTGGTTACTTCTATCCCCAACTCCTTTAGAAGAATCTGAAGCCAAAGTAGTTCAACAACTCCATGGGCCATAGCCAAAGTAGTTCAACCCAGTCCTATCATGCTGGACTGGGTTGTTGCAATAACCGTTTGTTTCTTTTCCAAGTGACTAGATTACCGCCTATGAAGGTACAATATCCAGATGTAGACCTTCTATCTCCAAGAAAACTTGCTCAATTGGCATCAATGTAGGCTTCCACCTCTATTCTGTCACATTTCTTAAATAGTAATCCCTTCCCAAGACATGCCTTCAAGTATCTCAAGATCCTCTCTATTGCCCTCATATGTGTAACTCGTGGAGCATGCATAAACTGGATGACCACATGAACTGCATATGCAATATCAGGTCTTGTGAGGGATAAGTAAAGCAATTTACCAACTAATATCTTATATCTCTCTTTGTCAAAATACAGTTCTCCATTATCTTCCTATAACCCATGATTTTGCTCTATAGGAGTGCCTTCTGGTTTGGCTCCTAGCTTCCCTATCTCCTTTAGAAGGTCCAATGCATACTTCCTTTGGCAAATGTATATTCCCTCTCTAGATCTAGCCACTTATATTCCTAAGAAATATTTCAGAGGTCCCAAATCTTTGATTTCAAACTCCGAGGCTAAGAAGTCTTTCAACTTTCGAATCTCATTCGAAGCATCTCTCTTAACAACCATGCCATAAACATAAAAAATCAATGTTGTTAGTTTTCCTTCATTTCTTTTATAGAACCTGTGATTAGCATTGCTCTGTTTATACCCAACAACCTTCATTGCCTTGCATAATCTTTTAAACCAAGCCCTTGGAGATCGTTTGAGGCCACATAAGGTCCTCCTTAGCTTACATACCTTTTCTGTCATGTCATATCCTAGAGGAGGGTCCATATGGACTACTTGTAGATCTCTATTTAGGAAAGCATTCTTGACATCTAATTGATGTAGTTCCCAAGAAAAGTTTGCTGCAAGAGAGAGTAACACCTGTATAGTGTTCAATTTGGCAACTAGTGCAAAGGTCTCCTTATAATCAATCCCTTCCTTTTAGGTGAATCATTTTGCAACTAATCTAACTTTATACCTCTTGATGGAATCATCAGCCTTGTGTTTGACTGTACATACCCACTTGCACCCTACAGTGCTTTTCCTGGCTGGTAGATTCACTAGCTCCCAAGTGTTAGCTTTCAACAAGGCTTTCATTTCCTCATCCATAGCTTCCCTCCATTTGGGATCAACAATAGCCTCTAAGTACCTGGAAGGGGTAGAAATAGAGGACACGGCCAACATAAAAGAGTGATAGGCAGGAGACAATTGAGAATATGAAACAAATCTATTTATAGGATGAAGAGTGCATGGACAAACCGGTTTTCACAAGGCAATAGGAAGATCTGAATCAAGATTAGAGGAAGTAATGGGAAGAGCAATATCTTGGCTGGAATCTGAAGTTCCCGATGAAGGAAGGTGTAATCTAGCATATGGATGGCCGAACCACACTGGATGGTTGGGCGAAAATTCAAAATATTTCTTTCACCTTCTAGGAGTCGAATTCCTAGTTTTAGAAAAACTGCATTTTTCAAGGATCATTCTTGCACCGAAACCGGATCAGATTTGAAACCAAAAAGAAGGGAGAAGTATACCTGATACAGAATCGACAGATGTAGCTCCCAAAGTGGTAGTTCACGCCCAAACTGAACCCCAAAACCAGCTCCCATTGAAGATGGTGCAGCTTTGAATGAAGCCGGTTTAGCAATGCAATTTTCAGCAAAACTGCAATCCAACTGGATGGATCGAGCAAGGGAGGTGAGCACGGAATTTCTTTGATTTTTCTTGCAAAAATTAGAGGTGAAACTGATCAAGATCAGTCCAAGAAACTGGAGATCGAACTAGAGTTCTGGGCAGCAAGAGCAGAGAGAGAACTGAGAACAAAAGTTGTTTTTTGGAGCAGTTCACCCCTCCCTTTAATAAGCCTTAAAAGAGCACCACTCCTAATTGAATTAGGAGGTTTGTAATCCAAATCTTTATTTGGATTTGGACTCTATCTTAAGATAGGTCTTATCCTCTTATGAGAATGGGTGCTTCAAACCCAGATCCATACCCAT